TCGTCATCACCGCCTGCTGCTGCCTGGTCCATCTGCATCTAATAATCTAATTCATGAACAGCAGCTCTGATCTGTGATTCCATCTGCGCCGCGCCAATAATCCCCTTTTCAGGTGTGCTCACATGGGGATCATCATTGTCACAGTTGGGAGGAGCAGGGTGAGCGAGATCCGATCCGATCCATCCGTGAGCACCATGACCATGAATAATAAAGCCTTCCTCGTCACTTCGTCAGAGGAGGAAAGAACACGGCCCGCCTTTCCGTTCCGATCCATCGAGGCCATGCACACCCACACGGCCGCCCGGTGCAGTCTGGCAGTCTGCAGCACGCAGGCGGCAAGCAGCTTAGCTGTTCTTCGCTGGCCCTGCAGCTGCCGTGCGCCGGTGTGCCCAGCCCACGGTGTCATGGGCGATCATGGTCGCCGACTCGCCGTCCGTCCTGGTCCTGGTGACCACTTGATTAGCGAACAAATTGCCGCCTAACAGTGTCATTCTCATTCCGTACACCATGGATCCCCCAGCATATATATCATATAAGAGTATATATAAAACTTTAATAAAGCTGGTACGTACATTTATGGGCTCACTAAATCCGTATCAGCACGCGCGTGCCACTACCCACTAGTGGTGAATGTGACGTGCTCAGCTATACTTATAGTTTATATATAGTTCCAGGTCATATGATCCTGGACCGAAATCGCATCAAATTTGTTGCCAAGCCACTGCATTGCAAGAACGCAAGTTGTTTTCATTTAAAAGAGCAGTTATTACAAAAAAAAAAAGAAAAGAAAGGGAAAAAGGATCTTGTGAGAAGCCGGCCCAGGCGCAAGGAGCGTTCCAGCGAGGAATGGGTTGGGCTGAAGGGTGCACCTCCACGCTAGGCCAGCCAGTCAAATGGGCCCGCCATCTTGATCGACCGATCGATCGGACGGTGTCAGCTTGCTCCACGTGGCCCATCGGAAGGCCCACGCAGGCCCTTGGCTTTTTTTCCACGAACTACCCCTTGATAATTTGTGTTCTTGGAATCTTGGGCGATTGATCGATCGCAAGGACAACTGATTCGTCACCCACGCTTCCTTGATTGTTTCTCCCGAAATAAACTTAGATGGACGGACCACCGGTTGCTTTAGTTGAAGGCATCATCAACTAGCTCCCATGTGGGTTGTGTGTGAGTTGTTTCGTGTTGCACATTTTAGTCTATGCCTGCTGGTTTCATCGGCTTCAGGTTCATTTTTGAAGGAGAGAAAAATAGCTCCTTTCTATGGCATACAATATTTTCTAAAAACCGGAGCCATTTTTGTAAGAAAAAGTTCTCCTCCCAAACAATGCCTTACTATTACACCTCTTGAGTAGAGCTTTGGTCGGCCCTAGGCCCTACGTGTACTACAACAATGAATTGTTTTTATCTGTTTTCTCAAACTGAACTAAAATTTGGTGGATCGCTTTGTGGCTATACAAATAAGGTATAAACATTACTCACTCTGTTTTTAAATTTAAGTCTATAGTTTTTTTTCGACTTCACACCTATTTCATTAATAAGTCTATAATTTTTTACTATGCATCTAGACATAGTATATATCTATGTGTATAACAAAATCTATTATGGGTCTAGAAAGGCTAAAATGACTTAGAGTTTGAAATAGAGGGAATAAAATTTATTATCCTAGTGCAAACCTAGATTGTTTTACCCTTTTATATGATTTTTCTTACAGATACAGGGGGTTTTACTATTTATATCCTCTGTTCTCGACTCTTCTCTAGACTCTGGATATAACTCATCACAAAAAATATGTACATAATAATTCCTTGCATCTATTTAACGAATTATTATACGAATCTTATCTTATAAATAAATAAAGGCATTGTTCGATGGATCTCCAAAAAGCTAGGTATCAGTACCTTCAAGAAAAGTTGCATGTAGAATTAAGGTACAACGAGGAGCCTTTAGATGATTCGTTTTCTTACTAGATACAATTATTTATATATCTAGATCTACTAGAGCACAGGCATAAATCACCGCTTGCTGTAGTAAACAAATGGCACCAAAAGTAATCTATGTGCACACAAAAAGTTTCTTAAGCAGCGAGTTGGTGGTAATATTTTCTGGTATAAATCATTTTAATCACACCTAATTTCCCCAGATCGCCTATCATAAACAAGAACACGAAAAGGTCGTTTAAGGAAAAAAAAAGTGCACCTGTCAAATAAAAAAAAGAAACTGTGCCATTTTACAATCAACCGATTTTGCAATATGAATTCAGAACTGATTATAAAATAAATGAATTCAGAACTGGGCAGCAACTATTCCCCTTTTTTTTTCTCTCTCTCTCTCTCTATATATATATATATTAACTAATTTTCTCCCACCCAGGATGCGCATATAAAAAGGTTTTTTTATCCACACTATTACAATTTTGCAAGTTCGAAGATACGTCATTATAATTCACTTATTTAGAGAATTACTATTATAATTTCATGTCTCTCTTGTCCATGCCATTTTTCTATACTTATACCGTATATGGACCCATTGTCAGACATGTATGCATACAGATACGTGTACGACGTTAAGTTCCCGCCTCCTCTCCGTCAGAACAGGCCCACCCGCGGCGGACTGCGCGCAAGCGGAGCGGTGGCCTGCGCTATCGCCCACGGCGGCGTCCCTGTTCCCGTCCCGTCCCCTCGCCCGCGCCATGGCCAGAGCCGGTGCCATGGCCGCCCTCTTCGATACCGAGCTCGCACGCGCCATGCCGCAGCCGAGCTTGCCCGGCGGCGTCCCCGTCCTAGCGTTGGAGGACGTGCACACGTCACTTGGGCCAAGGTTGCCGAACGGCAGCTCCCGCGGGTCGCCGGCACGGACGCGGAGCAGCCGTGGAAGACGGTGCCGTAGACGTGGAGCGAGCGCCGCCGCTCCGCCTCGCGCGCAAGCCTGTGTCAACGCTGCTCCCGCCTCCCGCTCGACCTCCGCAACGTCCGCGGCGACTGCTAGATGCGCGCGAAGCTGTCGTCGAGCTCATACATGGAGCAGGCGAACGCCTCCTCATCCGCCCCGCTGCGCCGTAGAGCTCCTCCACGACGAATAGCTGCAGCGTGCCCTATGTTCGTTTCTGTTCCGCGATGAATAGCTGCAGCGTGGCTTCTCTCTGCAGTGAGCTGTGCTTTGCCTTGCGCTCATGGTCTGCTTGCGAGCTAATGGATTGGCCGTCAAGGATGCTCTCCCTTTTCGCAGTTCTTGGTCACCTACTGCCACTGACTGTTGGATTATCCGTTAGACTGGTCTGAATAGTGAATATACATGGGGAGTATTGCTTACTTTGCGTTAAAAACGAAAGAACCAAAAAAATGAATTAATTTTGATAGTCCAATGACATATCGAAAAGGAGCAGCAGACTTTTGAGACAAAACCGAGCAAACTGGAAACCTTGTGAATATCTTGTGCACTGCGCTCCGCTCTGGCTCGTCGCGTGTTGCTGAACTTTAGCGTCAACGACCTCCGGCGACACTGCCCTGTCGTCCGCGAACACGAGCTCGCTAAGGCGTCGTTGGACAGGTACCTGTACCACAGTACCACTACGAGCGCTGGGCGGCCAACCACATGACGCTGCAGGAAGGTGTTCAAGGGCATGACCGAGGCGCGTGGTTCTTCTCGCAGGGCCACGACGCCGACGAGAGTTCACGGAGGCCGCTGCGGGCGAGCGCCGCCGCTCCGCCTCGCACGCAGGCCTGCCCGGACGAGCGCCGCCGCTCTGCCTTGGCCCGGTCGACGTCGGACTCCGACAGCTTTTCTGACTGCACGGCGGCCACCGTGTGCTGCGCCAGGAAGTTGCCGGCCATGGCGTGGCGGGCAAGCTCGGCTCCGGCCATGGCGCGGACGAGGGGACGGGGACACCGCTGGGCAAGCTCGGCTCTGGCCATGGCCACAGCAAGGGTGGGCTCCGGCCATGGCGCTGGCGAGAGGACGGGAACGGGGACGCCGCCGGGGACGATGGCGCAGGCCGCCGCTCCGCTCGCGCGCAGTCCGCCGCGGGCGGGCCTGTTCTAACGGTGAGGACGCGGGACCTTAACGTCGTACACATCTCGTATCTGACAATGAGTGGATATACGGGAGAAGCGTAGAAAATGGCATGAACACGAGAGACAAGGAATTATAATGACAGTTTTTCAAATAGACGAATTGCAACGGCGTATCTCCGTAACTTTTAAAATTATAATCCAAAATCGCATATAAAAACCGGCGAAACCCTTGGCTCTCCTCACTTGGCCACCACAACCACTTCTCCCCTGTTTCGTCTCGTGCATTCTCCGTGGGAGCGAGGAGGACTCGCGGCCGGCGGCAGCGGCAGGCAGGTTCTCCTAGATCTCCGGGTAAGTGCTGAAAGAAAAGAGGGAGGGTTATAGAGGAATTATTTCAGAATCTTTCTCCATTGCGATTTTGGTGGCGTCGAGTTTAGTCTGAAACGCTCAGCTCATCCCATTCCTGCGCACAGTAGATCAGATCCGATTTGTTCCTGCGGCATTCTGATTGCTGGGCCCTTGTTGCCGATTAGTTATCTACATAAACAGCGGGCAAGCTGTTCTTGCGGGTTCACAAGAAGAAGATAAACAGTTTTGCCATCTTGCCTCGCAAGGATAACCGCCCGTTAATGCGTTTTTATTTCTTGATTTCTGGATAAAGATAGTTATTATTCGATTCCTGGATAATGGAGTGCCATTAATTGGTCCCTGCATATCGTGGTATTGGTTGCAGAAACTGTGCCGGTTCTGTAGATTTAGACGAATCACAGTGTCAAGAGAGACAAGATTCACCTGAATCCTTTTGTTAAATTAGAAAATAGAGATGATCCAAGGTCCTGTGTCTCTCAGTGTAGTCGTGTAGAGCGTTTTTGTCCTGTTTCCTTTACTGAAAATGCAGTTACCAAGCATTCTGCTGTTTCCTATTGAGATAGATGTTCACTGATTTTTACCCTTTGTCTCCTTGTGTTTTTGTTCCAGAATCTGTAGCAAATGGCTGACGGCGAGGACATCCAGCCCCTTGTTTGTGACAATGGAACTGGCATGGTCAAGGTTTGTAGTTCTTGTTCATGCTGGTACTTCATATTCAGCAACCTTGTTCTGAAGATTTAATGACACGCTTTCTTACAAACTATTGGCAGGCTGGTTTTGCCGGCGACGATGCGCCAAGGGCTGTTTTCCCAAGCATCGTTGGACGTCCCCGTCACACTGGTGTGATGGTTGGCATGGGGCAGAAGGATGCGTATGTTGGTGATGAGGCCCAGTCCAAGAGGGGTATCCTGACTTTGAAGTACCCGATCGAGCATGGTATTGTTAGCAACTGGGATGATATGGAGAAGATCTGGCACCACACCTTCTACAATGAACTCCGTGTTGCGCCTGAAGAGCACCCTGTGCTGCTGACTGAAGCCCCACTGAACCCCAAGGCTAACAGGGAGAAGATGACCCAAATCATGTTTGAGACCTTCAATGTTCCTGCCATGTATGTCGCCATCCAGGCTGTGCTCTCCCTGTATGCCAGTGGACGTACAACTGGTAATGATTCATTCACATGATGACCAAATTTCATTAGGACCTGCAAATTTTCCTTCTTAGTTATGTATTGCTGTTGTTCATTCAGGTATTGTATTGGACTCTGGTGATGGGGTCAGCCACACCGTGCCAATCTATGAAGGTTATGCCCTTCCTCATGCCATCCTGCGTCTTGACCTTGCTGGGCGTGACCTGACTGACAGCCTGATGAAGATCCTCACTGAGAGAGGTTACTCCTTCACCACCACTGCCGAACGGGAAATTGTAAGGGACATCAAGGAAAAGCTCGCATACGTGGCTCTTGACTACGAGCAGGAGCTGGAGAGCGCCAAGAGCAGCTCATCTGTGGAGAAGAGCTACGAGCTGCCCGATGGTCAGGTGATCACCATTGGGGCAGAGAGGTTCAGATGCCCTGAGGTCCTCTTCCAGCCTTCCTTCATTGGTATGGAAGCTCCTGGCATCCACGAGACCACCTACAACTCCATCATGAAGTGCGATGTGGATATCAGGAAGGACTTGTATGGTAACATTGTGCTCAGTGGTGGCACGACCATGTTCCCTGGTATCGCGGACCGTATGAGCAAGGAGATCACTGCCCTTGCCCCGAGCAGCATGAAAATCAAGGTGGTGGCACCGCCTGAGAGGAAATACAGTGTCTGGATAGGAGGATCCATCCTTGCCTCCCTGAGCACCTTCCAACAGGTTAGAAACTTACACTTTTTTTTTTATTTCCAGTTTCTATGGCAACTATTGCAACCGTTCAGTAGTTCCAGTATGTTCTTCCGTACTAAAAACATGCTCCAATATTTATGCTACAGATGTGGATCTCAAAGGCTGAGTACGACGAGTCAGGACCCGCGATTGTTCACCGGAAGTGCTTCTAAGCTCAAGGCCCGTCCCCCCTTCGGCTCCATTTTATGTTTTCCTTTCCAGCGAGTGCTTTTCATGTAAGCTACTATGTTTGAGATTGCTGGCCTTTTGAGGAGGCAATGTTGTTGGATTTATATTTTGTGGATCACTACAATGCATGCATTGCTCCAGATCCTTTCCATGCCAAGTTTGTTGCTAGTGGTGAAAACATGAACCACCAAAAAAAAAAAAAGAGGTTGGAAATTATTATAGTACCTAGGATTATATTGTAACTGTACTTGTGCTGAGTAACATTATTATTGGTTCTCTTTGTACATCCATCTCTGAGACATGCAATTCGTTTGATTGGTTTGCCTTGCTGCTTCTGTGAATGATTTCTTGGCGCTGGTTGTTGTGACATTGTCATCCCACCAGTTTCAAGCTTTTGAATGGCAACTGACCTGGGATTACCTTTGTGAGTCCCCAGATATGTGGATTTGTCATCTCTGAATCTCATCTGCTGCTGGCTGCTGCCTGCTAAAGTTGTTCCCATGTTACTGTTAAAAAGGTACCGTAGCGAGTGCATGAATTCAGGAACATGGGCTGCCGGTTGCCCTGTGCTGTGCCCCAGTCCGAATGTCTGCGCCGAACATGGGCAGGGCTGCTGCTGCTTTCGCAGGAGGGACCAGACCATTTGCTCCTTCCAGCTTTCTTTCAGTACCCACGTTCTCTAAATGACACCTTTTAATTGTGGCTTTTGATTGCAATTACTTATGATATGAGCATTTTCAGCTGCCGTGCAGACAAAGATTCTGAATGATCGTCGTGCATTGGCGCAGAGAAGTTTTTGCATTGGTAATTGTCTTGTGTATACTCTCTCATTCACCCATAATTCTTCAGGTGTACTCCTATTTACCATTTTACCTGATGAGAAAGCAGGTAAATAGTGTAAAAAAAACCAATCCCACTTTTGGTTTGCAAAAAAAAAAAGGGACAAACTGACCCATTTACTGCCACAAACTTTCCGTCCTGCTTTCGAAAAGACGGACTCCTAACTACTATCGTGAAGGCGCGACACTGACGTCGGCTCTATTGGGCGTACAATTTCATTCTGGGCCAAATTATGACGGGCCAACTCCGTTGGGCTCGGCCCAGAACAGCCGCCAAGATCCCCGAGACGGTGGGAGGCGGGTTGGTGATTTTGGTGGGCCAACAGAGGGGCCCACGCTAAAATAACCCACGCGCCAGGGCCAGGGCACCCCACCGCCGTGCCTGACACGCGGGCTCCACGTTTCACGCCCCGCATGTCAGAGAGAGCGGCCGGACGGCGTCCCCGGACACGCACGGCGCGTCGAGTTCGTGCTCCAGCCTTTCGGTCTAGTTTAATGGTTTTTCCGTCTATTAGTCGTCGTCCGTCCGCCTCCGTCCTCGTCAGCTCGGCGCTGGCTGGTGGCTGCCAACCCCAAGAACAGCCCTGCCTAGGGAAGGACCGAAGGGGAGCTGGGGAGGTGCGTAGCTGGTGGCGTGCGAGTGGCAACCGGACAGAGGCGCCGCGGGACTCTTCTCCTTGCCGGCCGGGCGCGCCGTGCCGCTACGGTGAGCTTGCCCCCTCGCTTCCTTTTTGGGACATGGTGTGTTGTATGTACTGCTGTGTGTGGCTGCCGTCCTTTTTTTTTGGGTGTCTTTCTCTGCTGCCGTTTTGGTGAGGCCAATGTGCTGTTCCTGGTGTGGGGGGAGATCATGGATGGAACAGGCCTTAGTGGAATAGTGGGCAGGTGATTCTTGCTCCGTTGGTAGGCTGCTTGTTTGTAGGAGTAGGACTACCGTCGTCGGCGCAGATTCGTTCTTGTCGATAATAGGTGTCGGGGGAATCGATGGGTGATGGAGTTCCTTCTTCACCTTTGATTGAAGCTCCGCGAAGTCTCGGTTATTTAGGGCTTAGTATGAGATCTATTGGGGCTAGGCGAAGAAATGGTTTCCTGGTGGTGGTATTGGCTCTACAATTTTGCCCTGTTTGGACATATCCTCTTATCCCAATGAGAATTTGATGCTTGCTACATCACTGTTATCCTAAATAAAATCATTATTAGATACAGATGGCTCTTTTGGAAAGAATCTGTGTCTTGGGTGTGGGGAAGAGCAGCTCCTTATGTTCACCTTTAGATACAGATGGCTACCCATTTAGGAGGCGTTTGTTGTCAACAAACCCATTGCTGAACCACGAAAAGACTGCTACCACTAGCTATAGGTATCACCACACTAATTTTGTGGAAAATTTTAGATAGTGAAGTCAGTCACTTACTCACTTCTCAAGGGCTCACTGTTATATCAAAATGGCATCTTTGATGACTAGGTGAACAAATGGTTCTCTTATATAAGTCAATACAACTGATTTGGCGCGGAGCCGTGTTTGCCCTGTGTATACAGTTCAGAATTGCACAGTGTCCTCTTGCAGTCCCTGCAATGTTTCCTTTTCATGCTGCCGCACTCATTTGGTTACAAATTAATGATGTCATCAATGCCATCAGGAAAATTTGATGGGCTGAATGGTTTCATTTGTATACCACTGAGCAATTTATCTCTAGAGAAATATAATACTTAATTGTGTCATCAAATTCCACATTTTTCCTTTGATCTTAGGCGATCCTGCTAAAAATTTGAACTCTGGTTTTGCTGTGTGGTTTCACACTTATAAAAAAGTGAAATATGCATGAAATGGATTTTAAAATTTCATCCCAAATTGCTTTTTCAGGTGACACCATGATATTGATGTGAAGTTTTGGGGCACTTCCTGCATCCCTTATATGGTATTAACAATATTTTTAATTGTCTAGGTGATCCATTTGAGCAAATGGAAGGCAGCGACCTACCCCCTGGAAACATGTTGCAAGGGGTTCCCTATGATACTTTAGACTTACGTGGCAGCTCAATGCAAAAACATGCTCCAAACTCTGGAAAACAGATCTTCAGCAGCTCCCAGATGCCGGGGATTTTCACAATGTCTATGACCAGGGCTACAGAGCCTGATGACTTTACTGGATTTCAGTTCAAAGAACATGGAAAGAGTGATGACCACCACCACCAACACCATAGTCATCACTCAAAGAACTGCAAGAGTGATGGTGAAGAACATGATGTGGCTGAAGATGCTACTGATACCCCAAGTGGCAAAGGCAAGAAGGGCTCTGCATGGCATCGGATGAAGTGGACAGATTCAATGGTAAAACTTTTGATTACAGCAGTGTCTTACACTGGAGATGATCATGGTGCCGATTCCAGTGGTGGCAGGAGGAACTTTACAATAATGCAGAAGAAGGGCAAATGGAAGGCGATATCGAAGGTTATGGGAGAGAGAGGCTGTCATGTGTCACCGCAACAGTGCGAGGACAAGTTCAATGACCTTAACAAGAGATACAAAAGGCTGACAGACATCCTTGGTAGGGGCACTGCTTGCAATGTTGTGGCTAATCCATCACTTCTTGATAGCATGAATCATCTTTCTGATAAGATGAAAGACGATGCAAAAAAGATACTTAGCTCAAAGCACCTATTTTATGAGGAGATGTGTTCCTATCACAACAACAACCGTGTAAATTTGCCTGAAGATCATGCACTTCAGCATTCACTACTGCTTGCCCTTAGATGTAAAGAGGAGCATGATCCTCGGTGGGATCCAAGTGGAGATGCTGATGAAGACGATCAAAGTGCGGATTCTGATTATGAGGAGAATGACGAAGAGCAACATCCTGTGCATACAAACATGAGGGAGCCCTCAACGCACAAAAGGAAGCGCCACAGTGATGTGGCTTTGGTCACATCAAGCTCTCATGAAGGCAGTGAGAGGTCTGATCCCCATGGTGTCACAGTGGACATCAACAAGGCTTTCACAGATGCAACCAACATGGTTTTGTTGCAACAGGACTTGGCTTCACAAGCCATAGAGATTCAGAAACGTCGCTTGCAGATTGAAGCAAAGGAACTGGAACTCACAAAGCAACGTCTCAAGTGGGAGCAGTTCAGGAAGAAGAAGGACAGGGAGATAGAAAAAATGGCATTGGAGAATGAACATATGATGATTGAGAACAAACGCTTGGAACTTGAGCTGAGACATAAGGAGTTAGAGCTAGATCTTAAGCTGAAAGGCCAGGGGAACCATCCGTAACTTTTGCTTGATCAACACTACAATATGTAAGATGGTAAACAAGTAAGTGGGCTTTTGAACTATCTTTACTAAGGAAAGGCTTTATATTCATCATCTTGAGCAGCTGTTTTTTTATATGAACCTTTTCCGTTTTAATTTGCTAGATATGGAACTCATTCTTGTTTGTGTTTTCTGTTAATATAGACGTCTTTTTATCTGTATATTTAAAAGTGCATCAATGTTTGTCGTTGAAGGGAACCAAAAACATGTCATTAGTTTTAAGCTAGGCGATTCCTAACAGTTCTGCTCATATTGGATTTGCATATAAGAAAAGCATTGCTTTAGTCAAGTTGTGATTGGCTACATTTCCTTTATCTATGCTAACTAGCAGGAACCCCGCGCAATTGCGCGGGCTAGGAAGCATAAAAGTGTAGCATGAGAGGTTACAAACAATGTAAAGCACACAGCAAAGAATAAGTAATTATTTTTCATGTCAGGACAGAATAAATTTCTGAGTAGATATTAGATGGTATGAACCGGGAAAGATGCTCTTGATTACCACTCTCGATGCCTTTAGATATCCACATTCAGAAAGCTTGAATTTTACAATTTTATTGAGTATGGCATGACGTACCCATGTGCTAAAAACAGCGTTGGTACACGAGTATTACCGAAATTTCAGAATTGCCAATATCCATCCTTGTTAGGGTGCATCACTGTTTACAACTTGAGGCTGTAAAATAATCTTCTTGTAGGTAAGGTGGAGCTTAAGGTGGTAAAAGAATCTTATCACTTGTAAGCAGAAACAAAGAAAATTATATTGGTGAGGTATTATTGATCACATTTGGACTGGTAATGGGAAGAATAACCTGAGAAGAATATTACGAAATTCCATTGAAACTGGTCTTGTTTTGCTAGGCTCATGTAAAATTATTATTATGTATAAAACAGGTTAAGGTCCATGCTTAGTAAAAGCAAGAAAAATTTGCTACAGGACATGTAAAATGATGCCGAGTTAGTGGTGAATACAAAAGAAAACACTCTTGCTTCAAGCTAAGGGCGCGTTTGGTTCTGGACGTGCTTTGCCTTGCTTTGCTGACACGGATGGGAATCTGATGGGATAAGTCTCATGTGTTGGTCACATGGTCTTTGTGGCTACATGATCTGTTTTTAGGACAGCATAGGACAACATCTTAGACTAGAGGACAGCATCTAGGACAGCATCTTAGACTAGCATCTAGAGGACATCATCTTAGCATCTAGGACAACAACATCTTAGATTAGAGGATAGCATCGAGGACAGCATCTTAGACTAGCATCTAGAGGACAGCATCTTAGCATCTAGGACAACATTTTAGACTAGCATCTTGGCATATGCTTGGCTGGCTAGCAGCCTATAAATATGTATCCCCAACCCCTCGGGTTGGTATGACATTTATGTGAGAAATAAACCAGAAAATTGCTTCAACTCCTAGTGTCATCCTCTCTCGATGAGAGTAAAAATTATGCTACTACCAAGGATAAGAATTCAGCGACTAACAACTGGTATCCGAGCCGTACTATCCTATAGTCTGAGCATCATCGCTCATCTCTCTCTCAAAGCCCCCAATAACAAATTTGTTGTAAAGCAGCAGCCTCCTCGGCTTGGCTCTGCTCACTCCTCTCCTCTGCAAGCAGCAACTCGTCTGGCAGCCTCTCCCCACGCAGCAGCCCCCGGTGGCGCGTCATGTCCGCAGAGGCGATCTCGCCTGGCTTCGGTCGCCTCGAGCACGCTTGGCGTCGGTAGGGAGGTTGAACTTTGCTGGCAGAGGAACGCGAGCGAAGCGGCGATAGAGAGAGGCGGCGGCGGTAAGGGCGTCGAGGCCGGCGTAGCAGCCAGGCGAGGCGGAAGGGCGGCGGCAAGCGGATCGAAGGCCCTCTGGCGGCAAAGATCAGCGAAGGTCGAGGCCTGGCGGCAGCGGCGACGCGGCCTCGAAGTTCTTTGGGACAGCAGAGGTCGACGCGGACCTCGAGAGCGGGGGAGGGCAAGATGCGCCGCGAAGCGAGCGTCAGCCTACGCAGACGTGCGACGAGCGTCGGTGACGCCTCTGGCGGCGCCAGACGCGGCGATGGCGCTCTGGAGGAGGCAGCGCCGCGGCGGCGATGGTGGCGGCGACGGTCGATGAAGAGCGCGGCCTTCACATGCGGCGTGGCTCTCTCTCCCGGATCGGTGCTGCGTGGTTTCCACGGGCTCCGTGTTGTTGTCGGGGACGTCGGCCCCGACGGTGGGTGGCCTACCTCACTAAGACCAACTACGCCGAGTGGGCTACGGTGATGAGGGTAAAGCTCAGTGCGGCACATGTGGGAGGCGGTCCGTGACGGCGACGCCGACCACGACCTAGATTGGCGGGCGTTGGATGCCCTCATCGCCGTAGTCCCGCCCGAGATGCGATTTCGCTACCAACAAGCGGACGCCAAGGAGGCTTGGGACGCCATCATCGCAAAGACGATCGGCAGCCGATCGCGCCCGCAAGTCCACACTGCAGACACTTCACAAGGAGTGGGAGAACACCGGCTTTCAAGCTAGGTGAGAGGCGTTGATGACTTTGCTCTCCGCCTCAACACTATGTTGCGAAGATTGTGCGATTCGGCGATGACACCCCACGACGAGGAGAGAGCCGTCGAAAAGCTCTTCCGCTGCCCCGAGAAGCACAAGCGGATGCTCGCTCGATCGAAGTCTCTCTTGGATCTCTCCACGATGTCGATCGAGGAGGTGATAGGTCGCCTCAAGGTCGCCGGATGCCGATGAGCCACGATCTCTCTCGGGGCCCATCACCACCGGGCGGAAGCTCCTTCTTCACACCGAGGCGGTGGCTTGCTTGCCTAAGGTGACCGGAAGAAGGGGAGCCTTCTTCCGCGACAGGCGGCCGCAAGCGTGGCAAGCCACGCAGAGACGCCTAGGCCGGGGTGCGAGGACGTGCCGAGGGTGATGCCGCGGAGGCGCCCAAGGCGGCGCCGCCGGCAGCAGTATAAGCAAGACGAGACGACACCGCCGCATAGCTGCCGCTTTGGCCATTGGGCCAAGGACTGTCGACAGCCACGACGCGGCCAGGCCCACGTCGCACAGGCGGAGGAGGAGCCGGCTCTGTTCATGGCACATGCAAGCATCGAGCTACCTCCAGCGGCACCGGCCGTAGCGGCCCTCCTCCACCTTGACGAGCCAAAAGCACACGCCCTCCTCGTTGATGGCTCCAGCAACGACAAGACTGACGGGTGGTGCCTCGACACCGGCGCCACCCATCACATGACCGGTCGACGGGAGTTCTTCACCGAGCTTGACTCTAGCGTCCGAGGCTCCGTCAAGTTTGGGGATGCCTCTGGCGTGGAGATCAAGGGCGTTGGCTCCATCATCTTCACTGCAGTGTCTGGTGAGCACAGGCTGCTCATCGGAGTCTATTACCCCGTGTTGAGGAACTCCATCATCAGCTTGGGATAGCTGGATGAGAACGGTTCGCGCGTGGTGGTTGAGGATGGAGTCATGAGGATTTGGGATCGCTGTCGTCGCCTTCTTGCCAAGGTATCCAGAAGTGCAAATCGACTCTACGTCCTTAACGTGCAGGTAGCACAACCCCTCTATCTAGCTGCTCGTCGGGACGACGAGGCGTGACAGTGGCATGAGCGTTTCGGGCACCTTCACTTCGAGGCCCTGAAGCGGCTCAGTGCCACTGAGATGGTGCGAGGCCTGCTGTGCCTCGACCATGTGGAGCAGCTCTACGACGTCTGCGTGTTGACGAAGCAGAGGACTCCCCTTTCCCTAGCGGGCGAGCTTTCGAGCCAAGGAGAGGCTCGAGCTTGTGCACGGGGACTTGTGTGGCCCGGTGACACCGGCCACACCGGGAGGATGACGCTACTTCCTGCTGCTCGTCGACGACCTCTCCCGCTACATGTGGGTGATGGTCCTCGGCAACAAGGGAGAGGCTACGGATGCCATCAGGCGCACGCAGGCTGCTGCGGAGGTGAAGTACGGCCGCAAGCTGTGCGTGCTGCGCACCGACAACGGTGGCGAATTCACGGTGGCTGAATTCGCATCGTACTACGCTGATGAGGGCATTCAACGCCACTACTCCGCGCCGTACAACCCGCAGCAGAACGGTGGCGTCGAGCGGCACAACCAGACGGTTGTGGGGATGGCTCGGGCCCTTTTCAAACAGAGGGGGATGCTGGCTGTCTTCTTGGGAGAGGCGGTGGTGTCGGTCGTCTACATCCTCAACCGCTCACCTACCAAGGCGCTCGATGGCAGGACGCTGTACGAGGCTTGGCATGGGCGCAAGCCGGTGGTCTCCCACTTGCGGGTCTTCGGCTGCCTCGCGTTCGCCAAGGAGCTTGGCCACATCAGCAAGCTCGATGACAGGAGCACTTCGGGAGTGTTCATTGGCTACGCTGAGGGCTCGAAGGCCTACCACATCCTCAACCCGAAGGCGCAGCGGGTGCGCACGGCGCGCGACGTTGTGTTCGACGAAGGGCGAGGATGGGCATGGGACAAGGCGGTGGACGACGGCTCGGCTCCGACGTACGACGACTTCACTGTCGAGTACGTCCAATTCGAGGGAGCTAGGGGAGTAGACAACTCTTCTTCGGCGAGCGCGTCTACCCCAGTCCCCGAGCCTCCACCGACCCCGGCGCCTGCTACTCCGACTAGCACCACGCTCTCCAGCCAGGACCTCGGCTGCGATGAGTTCTTCGTCGGCTCCACCATAGCCGACAACGCCACGCACTCCAGCATCGACAGGCACCACTCCATGCACGTCTACTCCACCACCAGCTCGTGTCGAGCACAGCCCGGTTGAGCTCGCTACTCCACTCTCTCACGACGAGGAGTGCATCGACGCGTACCACGACGGTGAGCCATTGTGGTACCGTACGATGTAGAACCTTCTCGACGACCAGCCGGTGCCGGGACCGGTGCCTCACGACCTGGAGGCGCAGTTGCACCTTGCGTGTGACGACGGTGAGCCTCGGTCGTTTGTAGAGGCCGAGAGACA